GCTGCAACGATGGGCTCAAGTATAGCAGGGATTGTGGGGCTGGCGTGGGATCGGGCAGTGTTTCGTTCTGCTGTGCATGGGGTCGCTATGAGTCGGAAACAACTCGACAGCACTTAACAACAACATAACAACAACATGCTGTATTATTCCATGTAGACAAGATCCTAGAAAATGTAAAATAATCTAGAAAGTAGAATGGTGGTTAGCTGGGGACAGAGGTAGAAAGGGGAAATGAACTTCTTGGGGCAGTGAAAATGTTCCGTATCTTGATTATGATGGTACATGGGTGTGTACATCTGTCAAAACCTATCAAATACTACACGTAACTGAGAGAGTACTGATATCTTTAAGATATTGAGAATCTATCAAAGAATATAGCTTCCTACTTGTTGAAATCTTGAGTCGTTCAAAGGCATTTTAGGAGATTTCATAGTTTTTACACATTAAGTTTATTTTTAGGTATTTTATCTTTTAATCTTGTATCAGTAAATGTGGATGTTTTCTTCAATTATATTTGTTTTTATACATATATGATAAAAATATTGACTTCTGATTATTAATTCTGGTGCCTACAACCTTCCTGAATATTCTGTTTATAATAATCCTTCCATTGATTTTTATGGTTTCCCCGGTCACATTGTATCATCCAAAAAATAGTATTTTTACCCCTCCTTTATAGTTTTGATCATTTTTAATTTTTTCTTGCCTAATTACACTGGCTAGTAAATAAGAGGAGGAATAGTAGACATGCTTGTTTTGGTCCTAATCTTGGTAACACATATAAAAAAAAAAACGCAACACACTGCCATCAAGTTGGATCCAACTCATAGCGACCCCTCCTTGGGTTTCCAAGGCAGTATCTCTATGAAGTAGATTGCCCAACCTTCCTTCTGAGAAGTAGCTGGTGCATTTGAACTGCCAGCCTTCTGGTTAGCAGTCAAATGCCTTAGGCACTAATTCACCGGAGCTACCAAAACAAGTCCATGAGAACCAAAATATGATCTTGATTATATCCCTCCTAAATTTGGAGACCATTTAAAGAAGAGATTTGATGCAATGAACACCAATGACTGAAAACCAGAGGAATTGTGGGATGACATCAAGAACATCATCCAGGAAGAAAACAAAAGGTCATTAAAAAGACAGGAAAGGAAGAAAAGACCAAAGTCAACATCAGAAGAGACTCTGAAACTTACCCTTGAACAGAAAGTAGTTAAAGCAAATGGAAGAATTGGTGAGATAAAACAGCTGAACAGAAGATTTCAAAGAGCAGCTTGAGAAGACAAAGTCAATTATTATAATGAAATGTGCAAAGACCTGGAGTTAGAAAACCAAAAGGGAAGAACAGGCTCAGTGTTTCTCAAGCTGAAAAAAACTGAGGAAAAAATTTAAGTCTTGAATTGCAATACTGAAATGGCAGTATGTTGTGTGATACAGAAAACATCAAAAGATGGATGGAATACAAAAAGAACTGGTACATGATCATCCATTTCAGGAAGTGGCATATGATCAAGAACCAATGGTATTGAAGGAAGAAGTTGAAGTACACTAAAGGAACTGGTGAAATACAAGACTACAGGAATTGATGGAATTCCAACTGGAGATGTTTCAACAAAAGGATGCTGCTGGAGACACTGACTTGGCTATGCCACAAAATTTGGAAGACAGCTACCTGGCCAAATGACTGGAAGAGATCCCTATTTGTACCCATTCCAAAGAAAGGTGATCCCACAGAATGTGGAAATTATCGAACAAAATCATTGCTATCATACACAAGTAAAATCTTGCTGAAGATAATTCAAAAATGGTTGCAGCAGTATATTCAAAGAGAGCTTCCAGAAATGCAAGCTGGACTCAGAAGAGGACATGGAACAAGGTTCAATGCTAATGTCAGATAGATCTTGGCTGAAAGCAAACAGCAGAAAGATGTTTACGTGTGTTTTATTGACATTTGATTATGTGGATCATAACAAATTATATATAACATTGAGAAGAATGGGAATTCCAGAACACTTAATTGTACTCCTGAGGAACCTGTTTATAGATCAGGAGATTGTTGTTTGAACAGAATAAGGAGATACTGCATGGTTTAAACTCAGGAAGGGAGTGTGTCAGGGTTGTATCCTTTCACCATACTTACTCAATCTGTATGCTGAGCAAATAATCCAAGAACCTGGTCTACATGAAGAAGAATGTTGGCATGAGGATTGGAGGAAGGCTCATTAACAACCTGAGATATCCAGATGACATATCTTTGCTTGCTGAAAGTAAGAATTACTTGGAGCACTTACTGATAATTAAAGACTACAGTCTGCAGTATGGATTACACCTCAATATAAAGAAAACAAAAATCCTCACAACTGGACCAATAAGCAGCATCACAATGAATGGAGAAAGATAAAAGCTGCAAAAGACTTCATAATACTTGCTTCTACAATCAACACAAATGGAAGCAGCAGTCAAGACAATAGACAATGCATTGCATTGGGCAAATCTGTTGCAACAGACCTCTTTAAAGTGCTAAAGAACAAAGATATCTCCTTGAAGACTAAGATGCGCCTAACCCAACTGATGGTATTTTCAATCGCTTCATATGCATATGAAAGGTGGACACTGAATAAGGAAGATAGAAGAGTGGATGCTTTTGAGTTGTGGTGCTGGCAAAGAATGCTGAAAGTACCTTGGACTGCTAAAAAAACTAACAAATCAGTCCTGGAAGAAGTGCAGCCGAAATGCTCCTTGGAAGCAAGAATGGCCAGGCCTGGTCTCACCTAGTTTGGTCATGTTGTCAGACAGAAACTAGAGAAGGATATCATGTTTGTAAAGAGGAGGGTCAGTGAAAAAAGGGAAGACCCTCAATGAGATGGACTGACACACTGACTGCAGTGATGGGCTCAGGTGTAACAGGGATCATGAGGCTGGCACAGGACCAGGCAGTGTTTCATTCTGTTTTACGCAGGGTCACTATGAGTCATAGATGACTGGACAGCACCTAACAACAACAACTTCACAATGTCTCTGTTTTGAACAATGTAGTTAATTTCTCTTAAAAATCTCTTAAACTCATTTGGACTTCCTGATGAAGATCAAACACTACAGCCTTCGGGATGGATTATACCTCAACATAAAACAAAAATCCCCACAACTAGACCAATAAGCAGTATCATGATAAATAGAAAAAAGACTGACATCAAGGACTTCGTTTTACTTGGGTCCAGAGAAGCAGTAGGCAGATTAAAAGTCATACGCCATTGGACATATTTGCTGCAAGAGTTCTTTGAAGTACTGAAGAGCAAAGATGTCAATTTGAAGACTAAAGTACTCCAGACCCAAGATATGGTCTTTCCACAATAGCCTCATATGCATGTGAAAGCTAGACAGTGAATAAGGAAGACAACAGAAGAATTGATACATTTGAATTGTGGTGCTGTCAAAGAATATTGAAAATACCATGGACTGGCAAAAGAAGAAACAAGTATGTCTTGGAAGAGGTACAGCCAGAATGCTCCTCACAGGCAAGAATGGCCAGATGTCATCTCACGTACTTTGGTCATGTTGTCAGAAGGGACAAGTCCCTGAAGAAGGATATTATGCTTGATAAAGTAGAGGGGCAGCAAAAAAAGGGGAAGACCCCTAAGGAGATGGACTGATACAGTTGCTGCAACAATGGCTCAAGCAGAGCAACAACTGTATCGATGGGCAAGACCGACCTTGTGATATACGTCAGGTCACTATGAGTCAGAACTGACTCAATGGCACCTAATAACAAAATTCATTTGACTAAGAGTTCTGTGATATAAACTGACTCAACTAGCACATAAACCTTTAACAATTACAAATATATACAGTGAGTCCTTCTGAGTACTCAAACAGGAAGAAACTTTAGACTTTCTCCCAATTCAGGAATAGAAGAATGAAGCACTCTCTTCTCTTTCCCTACTTCTAAGGCTCCAAAGCATGGGATGATGTTCCAAATGGATCAAAGAACCAGCCTAGGAATGTACACTAATTACAGTAAAAGGAATGTATGTTTTTGTTGCTGTTATGTGCCACTGAGTTGGACCCAACTCATAGCAACCCCTCCTTGGGTTTCCTAGGCAGTATCATTATGGAAGTAAATTGCCCAACCTTCCTTCCCAGAAGTGGCTGGTGGGTTTGAACTGCCAGCCTTCTGGTTAGCAGTCAGGTGCCTTAGGCATTACACTACCAGAGTTCCTGTATGAACAGGAGAAACCTTTATATTGTTTAAAGCAATACATAAATATGTTTATGTACTTTACATATATTTTTTATACATCTATATGAATAACTTCAAGTATGAGCAGCAGCATGTGCTAGTTAGGTTTGTGTGTCAACTTGGCTGGGCCTGGTTGAGTGGCTGGGCAGCTGGTTGTAGTATTCCATATGATGAGACTGATAATCAACTCCACGGTGGAAATCTACTGTGAGCAGCTGAGTAGCTACCTTAGGGATGTGGCCTGTTTCATGTATATAAGGACAAGCCTTGGGAAACAGTCTCTAGCTTATGGCATGCTTGAACACTGCATATAGCCGTGTCATTGCTCTGCCAGCCTTGGGACTTTCACTGGACTAGAATGACTGGCCTGCCATGTGGTTTGGTAACACTGGAACTGTGCCTTTTGCCTTGTCAACCTTGGGCTTGTCAGTCTCAGCAGCCAGCAGCTATCTGAGTGAAGAAAAGCCTCTAGCTCCAGTGGGCTGGAAGCAGGAGACAGAGCTGAAGCCCAAGGTTGAGGGGCTTTAACCCAGCCCCTAGAGCCAGGCACTTTGAACTGGGACTTAAAGCCTCCCAACTGTAAGAGAATAAACTCCCGTTTGTTCAAGCCATCCCATTTGTGGTATATTCTTGTCAGAGCAGCACCAGGTAACCAGAACATACCACAAAGCCAATTCACATGAAGTAGAAGTGAAATGTATCTGTTAGCTCTTCCATTCTCGGTTTTTGTTTTTGCGCTGCAAAAGAATTTGTGCAGAAAACCAAAGTTAAGCAGTAGGCAAAACAAAGTTTATTGATACATTCTCAGAGACAAGAACAGACTTCCACTAAGAGCAGTAGGGAGCCCTGGGAGGGTTTAACATCTCTACTTTTATTTTATTTTGCTTCCTGGTACTGTTCTGAGCCCTCCCTTCATCCCTCCTTTTGGGGTGGCTTGACTGACACTTAGGGATTATATAACTCTTTGGGTTACTGTGCATGTTCCTTCCCAGATCCAGTTTGTTTGACTCAAAGTATAAAAGTAATCGCAATGCTAATTTATTATGATATTATAATGGATGTTAAGGTTAAGAGAGGGGGCCTCTTTTTCTCTAGTGCGCATGCTCTCTAGTGCATGCTTGGCAGCTTGGAATTGCTCTTATCGCTAGTGGCTTGGCCCGCAGTTAGCTTCTCTCACTGCAATTGGTTAGGACACTCTCCTCCGTTTCCCTTACACCTGGCTCTTCCTGTGGCCGTTTCCCTACACCTGTTCTTTCTTACTTACCTACCTACCCAGATTCCTACATTCTCCAAGCTGCTGAACCACTTCATCTCTGACACCAGCCATTCTCCCTCCCCTTCCTTAGCACTCCCTCCTGTTTGGGTTCAGCAATTCACAACATTTCACAGAACTTAGAACTATACTAACAGTTAAATGGTTTATTAAGGAAGTAATGGGGTACAACTTGGTATAAGGATTAGCAGGTTACAACTTAGGATCAGGAAGCATGTAGCTGAAGTCTCCTTTCTTCAGTGTAAGACATCTCTCTCTCTCTCAGCAAGACAGGCCTCCTCTTGGCCTCCTCAAGACAGACTCCTCTTGAACCTTCTGGGTTTGTAGCTGCTGGCTCTACTGGAGGGCCCCTCCTGGGCCTGTCGCCCACCTTCAGTGTTTAAGCTGCTGACTGATGGTACAGCTCGTTGATGAGGCTTCTTACTTCCTCTCTCTTTCTCTGCTTCTTCTTGCTTCTTTCTGTCTATAAAACCTCTGAGGGGCTGGCTGCTTAAAAACAAAAACTCCTTGTCACTTTCAAAGTATGCCCCCTCCCAGAGGAGTTCCACAAACTGATCAATCTCCTCTAAGTAGGCTACATTTTCTTCATCTACACAGTCCATTTACCAGTCCTTGCAAGGTGGATACTAATCACAGAGAGGCTGCAGCCCAAGGTCAGATAAAACATCAAGTTGTTCACAGTGTGTCCAGGAAATGTCAATCAGCCTGGACAAAAGCAACAAATCCTCTGGGGTTGAAAACCAGGGAAAAGGTAACTCCTCAGGGCACAGGGGAAAACTTCCTCAGGCTGTTTTCCAAAGAACCAAGGCAAAAGGCCATATAAAGGACTCATTTTACCACAATATCTGATAAACAAAATATATGTATACAGGCATAACTAATTTTATTGTGCTTTGCAGACAGTGTGTTTTTCACAAATTGAAGGTTTGTGGCAACTCTGCATCAGCAAGTCTATTGATGCCATTTTTCCAAAAGCATGTGCTCACTTCATGTCTCTGTCACATTTTGAGAATTCTCATTTCAAACCTTTTCATAATGCTCTTGCAGTCATAATAGTCTACAAAAACTGAAAAAAAAAAGACTTCCTGTCAAGTCAATTCTGACTCATAGCGACCCCTCCTTGGGTATCTGAGGTGGTATCTCTAAGGATGTAGATTGCCCGGTCTTCCTTCCAAGGAGTGGCTGGTGGGTTTGAACTGCCAGCCTTCTGGTCAGCAGTCAAGTGCCTTAGGCACTACACCACCAGAGCTCCTATAATACTCTGTGGTGTAGTGTAAACATAACTTATGTTCACTAGGAAAACAAAAAATTCATGGGACATGCTCTATTGCGATATTCACTTTACTGTGGTAGTCTAGAACCAAACCTGCAATATTGCAGGGTATGCCTGTATATTCTATCAAAAACACAATTCGGTATATAACTGAAAACCAACTGTTCACTCAGAAACTTAAAATATTTTTTCTCAATATTTAATCATTTAAATGTTTTTAAATACTACTTAAAAATAAAACTATTTGAATCAAAAACACTGAAATTCAGATGATCATGTTTATGCTTTTTAAAATTTACACTTCCAGACTGGTATCAAAAGCTACACTAACCTCAGGGAGAGCCAATGAAGTCGTTGGTTTGAAAAGATGCAGCTGTTTAGCTACTTGCATGAAATTTTACCAACATCAACAACTCATACTTTAGCTAAGCATTAAGTCATACATCAACTAAGATAGTTTCAGAAAAAAATACTTTTTTAAAAAATACCTCGGCACTTGCACATCAGTAAATGATCCCACAGCAGCAGACTGTCTCCTCCAAAATTCCTAAAATTGGAAAAAAGTTTGTTTCTAAAAAGTAGTTAGCAGTTACTCTGCCATGGGACAGATCCTCTTGCATCACAGAGAAGGCCCTCAACTAAAACAACTTACCACAACATCATTCTCAAGACATTGCAGAGACTGGATATCCTTCTCAACGTAGCTCAACTCACGAAGAATAAAACTTCGAAACTGCTGTAGTTTATTCCGTCTGAGATATGTCAAAGCAACAAATTTCATTGGGACTTTTTACATGTGACAAATGACACATTTAATTACATTCACTCATGACAAAGAGACCTCACAGTCTTTCTCTGACATTTGTTTTAAGAATGAGAGATGTCTCCCTTCTCTTCTTCCCTCCATTCCCTGCTTCCCCACACCCACCTAACAGGAAGCCAGTATGTTAAAATTCTTCTTAATAGGTAGGAATGGGGGAGGGATAGAAAAAAAGACAGTAGATTCCAGGGAAAAGGAAACTAAGGCAACTTCAGCCAGAGGTTGCCATGTCGCCTGGGGATCCCATGGCTTCCAACCTTCTGCAAGCTCCCATTTCTAGTCGTAAACCAGTCCTGAAAGGTGCAGTCTGAATTAAGCTAATAAATTCTTTTCCTACCTCCACATTTTAGTTCTAAAATATCTAACTACAATGTGGCCACCTGCCATATAATCTGCTTACTTGTTTGTCGGCTTATTGTCTGCCTTCTCCAATAGACCAAAACTTCCATGAAAGCAAAACGCTTGCACAACCGCTCTTGCTGGTCTCCAGACCTTGGAGGTCTGTGTTGCTGGGTGTGTATTTGTTGATTATGTGAATGAATATGCACCTCCTAGGAGCTCTGGTGGCTTAGTAGGTAAGGCATTTGGGTGCTAACCAGAAGATAAGCAGTTCAAACCCACCAGCTGCTCCACAGAAGGAAGATGAGACAATCTTTACTTCTGTAAAGATTTACAGCCTTGGAAACCCAATGGGGGTTGCAATAAATTGGAATAGACTCAATGGCAGTGGGTAAAAGGTTAAGGGAGGGGAGGTCTTGGGTGGTGCAAATGGTTAATGCTCTGGGCTAATAAATCAAAAGGCTGGAGGGAGGAGTCCAACCTGAGGTACCTGGGGGTGGGGAGAGGAAGCCTGGCAATCTTTGGAAAAATCAGTCACCTAAAACTCTATTGAGCAGAGTTTTGCTTTGACACACATGGCATCAACCAGAAGGATTCAACTCAGTGGCAACTTTTTTTTTTTCTTGAAAGGGCAGGGCAATTCCACAAATCCAATGTCATTCACAGGATTTTCTTTTTTTTAATTGTAATTTAGGCGAAAGTTTACAGAGCAAATTCATTTTTCCATACAACAGCTCTCATACACTTCGTCTCATGACATTGACTGTAATTTCCCACAATGCGACAGCTCCCCTCCCTCTTCCTCCCCATAGTTACCTCTTCCCAGTGTCCTTCCCTCCCATGCACTCCTGCCTGCCTCCCCAGCTGCCTCCCTGTGCATACACAGCCCTTCTATGCTCCCATGATTGATCTCTCCAAGGAGTGTATCTACCTAATGTTCAGCTCATATGCCTGTCTTTTGTTTGGCTGGAAGCTACAGGAGTGGGTTCAATTCCAGACCTGAAGGGCAGCTAGGGGCCATAGTCTCAGTGGTTCCATCAGACTTCATCAGACCAGCAAACCTGGTTCTTTTATTAAAAAAAAAAAAAAAATGATTTTAAGTTTTGCTTCACATTGTTCTCCCTCTCTATCCAGGATCTCCTACATAGATGCCCCTCCGAATGGTTGACAGGGGTAGCTGAGCACCATCTAGTTCTGGTCTCACAGGCATATAGGCCGAGGATTGCATGGTGTACCAGTCACCTGGACTAATTGTTTCCATGTATCTTTGGTTTTCTTCATTCTCACAGGAAGGTTTTTAAGAACCAAATGACATATTGCATATACAAAAGGGTTTGAAAAAAGTTATACAGTTCTGTTCAAATAATATGTTATGCCTTAACAAATTTTTTATTTCAGTTAAGCATACTGACACACCAACCTTTTCTTCCCTCTGTCATTTACAGGCCATTGTTTCCAATGAGGAACAATCTCTGTGCTCATCCTACCCCCATGCTTCTCCATTCCTTGAACTCGCCTTTCCCAAAACTCAACTTAAGAAGAATTTGCACTGTAACCTCTCTAGAATAATAATCATCACTATAGATACCTTTGCATCCACTCCAATCTCTCACCTGTCACAGCTCTCTCAAAGTTTGGCATCTGTACACTTTTCTACATGGTCAGAGAGGTGTGTGTGTGAGACATTTATGCATAAATATATACACACATATATACATATGTTGTTTTGTGCCACTGAGTGGATTCGACTCATAGCAACCCTGCAGGACAAAGCAGAACTGCCCTGTAGGGTTTTCCAGGCTGTAGTCTTCACAGGAGCAGGTCATCAGGTCTTTTCTCCTACAGAACCACTAGTGGTTTTGAACCACTCACCTTTTTGTTAGCAGCCAAGTGCTTAATCACTGCACCACCAGGGCTCCTTATATATACATACACACACATTGTTAGGTGCTGTCAAGTCAGTTCTGACTCATAGCGACCCTATGTACAAAAGAATGAAACACTGCCCAGTCCTCACAATTGTTGCTATGTCTGAGGCCATTTTTGCAGACACTGCGTTAATCCATCCCATTGACACACGTATACATACACACACACATATACAGAAAGAGAGAGTTTGTAACCATTTCCCATGGAGTCCACTCTGACTCATGGTGACCCCATGTGTCAGACTAAAACTGTGCTCCATAGGGTTTTTAATGGCTGATTTTTTGAAGTACATCAGCAGGTCTTTCTTCTGAGGCACCTCTGAGTGGATTCAATCTTGCAACCTTTCCATTAGCAGCCAAGCATTTGCACGACCCAGGAATGCCATATATATAGAAATGGAGACCCTTTAGTTCAACTGCTCGGTTTTTGTGGATAATGAAGTAGAAACCCAGATGGGGTAGTAAGTAACACATCAAACTTGTATCTTCTACAGGCTTTACCATTTCATGGCCCCAGCAGTCATTACTTAAATGACTGCTTGTAAGTCTAACACCTACACCTACATGAACTTGTTTTTTAAATCTAATACTTACCTGCACTGATGTATCTGCTTTAAAAGTTTTGTTAGGCAATCCGGTGCTTTTGTTCTACTTTTTGAAGAAAGTTGACTCCTTCTGTGTCTAAGCTAAACCACAACAACAATAACAAAATTACTGTGCTAGGTTAAACATAATACAAAAATCAGTGCATGCTTTATATTAAAAATGGCTGCCAACACATAATGATATTCATAGCAAACATGACCGCTAGAAAACTGTGGTAATAAGACATCATGCTACACACCTGTCACATATTAACACAGGTTCCATACAATAAAGAACAAGCTTCAACAGGAACGTTATTCATATTATCAATAATACATATATAGATTATGTATAAACAAATATGGACAAATTTCCATTGTAAATTGGCTCAATGGTATTGTAGACATAAAGAAGACTTTGAGGATCTTCCAATTTAGTTAAAAGAATGTTGGTTAGGATAAGATACTTATCTCAAATGTGCTAATGATAACTCATTACCTAAAACCAAAACCACACCCACTGCTGTTGAGTTGACTCTAACTCATGGCCAACAATATAGAACTGCCTCCACAGGGTTTCCGAGGCTGTAATCTCTATGGAAGCAGATTGCCAGGTCTGCAGACCCACTGGGTGGTCAAACTGCTGACCCTGCAGCCGAGTTAGCAGCCGAGCATTGCATCAGTGCATCACTATGTCCTTGACAACTCAATAGGGATTTACAATGAGTTACCGATGAGGAGCCTGAATATAGTTGATATTCATTTTGCAAGCAAGGTATCGGGGCATCCTATAGGCACAGAATCTCAAAGATGTGCGACCCCTCAGCAGAAACCCACCATGATCTACCTCCATCTTCATCCCAAACACCTCCCTTGTCCAGTTTCTTCTCTTCGCTCATTCTCCCTTCCTCCTTGCCTATCATGTGACCAATTCACTGCTTCCTGGTAGTTCAGCTGTCAGAGAATATTACCAATGCAGCCAAACTGTGACTCTGATTTCCATACAGCTTCACTTGGTCCTATTGTAGCAAATGGATATGGGGCCACTACCTCTCCTAAACCTCAAACATACAAATTCCAAAACCCACTGCTGTTGAGTTGGTTCCAACTTATGGGGTGACCCATGTATTCCAGAGTAGAACTGAGTTCCATGGGGTTTTCTTGGCTATAAACTTTATGGAACCAGATTGCCAGGCCTTTCTTCCACAGTGTAGGTGAGTGGGATCGAACCACCAACCTTTCAGTTAGCAGTCAAGTGCAAAGCATTTGCACCAATCAGGTACCTGTCTATGACACAAAGGAACTAAAATTAGTGATCACAGTCAAGACATATATACGTCCCCAAAAGATGCTGGAGCACCTTCACATATGAAGGTTAACAGTATTAATGAATAGTATAAACTTGTCACTTTAAAATCTTAAGAAGCTACTTTTCCATTTTTAATGGAACATTACCTCGTATTTCCTTTTCAGTACTTTAGTGACGTTTTCTAAGGTTGAGATGATGGCAGAACCATCCATGTTCTCTGGCATAGCTTCTAATGATGGGACAGAAATCCCCTCTGAACAACAAAGAGAGAATAAAGTGCTCACACAGGTTTACTCAGTCCATCACATGCCCAAAAGGAGGAATAGTCAGTCCATACCACAAATGTAAACCACAGAAGCCCCACTGGCTACACTCTGACTAGGACTACAGGAGGCCAACTTGGGCAAGAGTCCACATAGGGAGTAGCTCATGTTGCTTCTCACTGGAGAGTGCTTGGTTCAACCAAACCTTCTCTGTACTTCCTAGCACTTTTAATCACAGCAATTAGTGTTATGTCTAAGAAGGAGCTCGAGGTGTTAGAAGAGCTTTTGTTCTTTTTGTTTTCTTGACAGTAATTTTTTTGAAATGGACTATGGGAAAGTGAGGGAGTGAGTCATTATTTTATTAAATTTTCCATATTCATTTCTTACTTTTGTTTCAAAATAATGGTAGTGGGCCTTACTTAAATAGTGGGATTATGGATTTTAATTTTTAACCTTATAAATACAGGCAGCTTGGTTTACAAACAAGACGTGTTTCTAACTGTGGCTTTAAGTGGAATTTGTAGAGGAGTCAGAACAGACACATATGGTTCTTCCTTAGCCTTTCTTTAGTGCAAGAAAAGGCTGGAAGCCTTTTCAATAATTTAAAAGCTATATATGCAGCAAGTGAAGGTGATTGTGATGAAGAGTTTGTTGTGAGAAGTTGGTCTAATCTTTTAAAAGTGAGGGCAAATTCACATAACATTAAAGCAGGGCTTAAAGATGGCAGCCAACTGTACCACTTTCAATTTGTCTTGAAAATAATTCACTCTCACAAAAAAAAAAAAAAGGCTCTCAAAAGGGCTCACTACACTGCTTGAGTCTCACACTCCAGGGCTTCAACCCATAATTGTTCCCATTCTGATTATTGTCACGAATCACCCACATTGTAAAAAAGTTCAGGTCTGTCTGTTCCTGTCTCTCCTCCTCAGCCATGATAGACCCAGTTCAAACTGTATGAAAGGGCAAGTAGGAATTGTCTCTAAGTTGGATGTTCATAAAGAAGGAACTGCCTGTATATGAATATAGTATCATACAGATATAGTATAAGAGGCTTTGAGGAAGATGTAAGAGGTAAGGCATTTCTAATGGGGGTAACACGTCTAGGTGCCAGTCTTACAGTTTAACTAGACTTTTGGTCCATTCTAAGGGATTTACATGTATCAATTCAAGTAATCATCACAAAAATCATGTGAAGCAGGCACTACTGTTACCCACAGTTAACAGAGAGATACATAACATACATACTCTTAACCAGTGCCCTCTAAAGCTACCACAACCTCCACATTTGCATTTTCAGAACCCTGTGTTTCAATGATAAAGTGACATCATTCATTCAGAAGACCAGCCCCATATACACAAACATTTCAAGACCATCTTTTTAACTAACATAGGCAGTATACTCCTAACACAAAAATTAATTCATAACTCTCAACTAAATCAGAGATCTGTCATTTTAAATGGCCTTGGGATATGCAGGCTGCCATAAAGACAAAATAAGAAGCAGAAATCAAAAGGTTAGGAGGAGATCATGTTTGCTTTAATCTGAAACAACTTACTTATCTCTGAAAGGAAAAAATGTTTAGTTTTTAGAGCCCTGCAGCTAACGCCCTTGTAATTCACACTGGTACATTCAGTGCTTGCTGCATTTCTCAACAACCTCCTCCTTGAAATGCTGGTTAGGGGGCACTATGTTACCTGCCAAGTCACCTTCCTCCACCACTGAGGAAAGGGATCCTGGAGCACCATCATCTTCCACTTTTGACTGATTTGACGTCATAATACCACCAACTGATATGTCTAAAGGCAAAACAGGGCACACTGGTGACCACAGCCCTTCCTTTGATATACATTTGTCTTTTCACCAGTTAATATCTAATCTTGAGGAGCAGCAAGTGAAACATGTACCCTGTTAGTAATTAGTTATCACATGGCACTTTAATTAACAATCATAGACGTATCAAAGCAGAGTTTACTGATGCCTAAAAGAGGACACTGGGGAACAGGCATCCCTTTGATGAACTCAGTCATGTAGGAACACTGTGCCCAGCAAGGGACAGACTAAATCAAATGAAAAGCTGAAATGCTGGCTTCAAATGCAGTATTTCCAGGGTTCTGTACTAGATGGCAGGTTGGCCACATTTCCAGGCAGATCTGCCCCTGAAGCTCACCACATCACACTGGAGTGCACCACCTGCTGGTTGGACCCCAGTTCTTAAATGACACTGAGTTTCAGCTCTGTACTGAGGACCAGTTCATACCTGAGATCATCCTGGCTCTTCACTTGCTAAGGTGATTTTGATAGCCTCAAATGATAAAGTTTAAATATATACTCCCATTTGAATCTAGCATATTACTAAATATTTCGATTCAGGTGCTCATTTTCATCCCAAACATGCCCTCTGTCTACCCAGGCCCTTCTAATATTATCAATGGCACCTTCATTGTCAATATAAACCAACTGCCATTGAGTCAATTCCACCTGATGGCGACACATTCGTGGCAGAATAAAGCTATGCTCTATAGGTTTGTTTTCTTTTTCTTTTATAAATTGTATTTTTTGTGAAAATGTACACAGTGAGGGATATACCACTTCAAACAATTCTACATGTACAGTTCAGTAACTTTTTAAAATATTTTTCAAGAATGTGTAACCATTTCTGCTATCCCTTTCTAAATTATTCCACCATCATTAACATAAAGGCATTGTTCCCAAAGTTTCTCATCTAACCTTTTGTGGTACTGCTGTCAATTTGATCTCACGAAGATAAATCTTTGCAAGAGCACAATGCTCATGGCAGACACACTGTACTTATTAAGCTAATGTACTGTTTGCTGCAGAACAGACTTCCAAGAAAAGTTTTTGTTTGAGGTTTGAAGATTACCTGAGAGTAATAGTTTTAGGTATTCATCCAGCCTAAAAGGACCCAATGGACCCTGAATGGATTCCACTGAGAATTTGAAATTGTCTTCTGTTCACCCCCTGCCCTCTTTTAATCAGTATTTTTCTTCAAAATCTGATATCAAAATGTTTAGTTACTGTAGGCAGGCACCATTCAGCATAATTAACACCATTCACTATCTCATGGCCCAGAAAATAGATATTCACAGTAGCAATATTTCCTCCTCTGATTCCTGACTTTCCTTTCCTTGCTACTCCAGATGAATGGAGACATATTAAGACTCCAGTCACTATATAACAAACTAGGAGGTAGAACATAAGCACAAATAAACATTACAGGTAGTCCCCGATTTATAGTATATTCTAGTTATAACGAACTACACTTATGACCATCCACTGTTTCCTTTTTGTACATCTTATCATAGGGTTGTTTTGAGTTGGAACTGACTCAAAGTTAGTGCATTATCTTTAGTAATATGTACTACATACAATATTGTAGCATGTAATTTGCTGATGTTATCATTCTCATGCTAACACCCAAAGACACATAAATATCAGATTTATGACAATGTTGTTGTTAGGTCCTATGGAGTTGCTTCTGACTCCTAGGACCCTATGCACCTATGAGCAAAACCCTACCCAACCCTGCACCATCCTTACAATTGTTATCATGTTTGAGCCCACTGTTGCAGCTACTCAATCAATTCACCTCATTGAGGGTCTTCTCCTTTTTGCAGACACTCTACTCTACCCAACATGATATTCTTTCTCCAGAGATTGGTCCCTCCTGATAACATTTCCAAAGTATGCAAGATTAAGTTTCACCATCATCACTTCAAAGAAGCATCCTGCCTGGACTTCTTCCAAAACAGATTTCTTCATTCTTCTAACACTCCTTGGTATAGTCAATATTCTTCACCAACACCATAATTCAAATTTATCAATTCTTCTTCAGTCTTTTTATTCACAGTCCAGCTTTCATATGCATATGAGGCAACTGAAAATGCCATGGCTGGGTCAAGGGCACCTTAGTCCTCAAAGTGGCATTTTTGCTTTTTAAAACCTTACAGGGGTCTTTTGCAGCAGATTTACCCCAATACAGTATGTCATTTGATTTCCTGAGTGCTTCTCCCATGGGTGTGGATTATGGATCCAAGTAAAATGAAATCCGTGACAACGTCAATCTTTTCTCCATTTGTCATACTGCTTATTGGTCCAGTTGTGAAGAATGTTATTTTCCTTATGTCGAGGTGTAATCAAAACTGAAGGTTATATTCTGATTTTATCATAAAGTACTGCAGGTCATCTTCATTTTCAGCAAAGAAGGTTGTGTCATCTGCAATCACTGGTTCTTAATGAGTCTTCCTCCAATACTGAGGAAGATGCATCCTTCTTTTATAGTCCATTTTCTTCGATTATTTGCTCAGCATACAGATTGAATGAGTATGGGGCAAGGACACAACCTGACACACACTCTTCCTGATTTTAAACTATGCAATATCATCTTGTCCTGCTTGAACAACTGCCACTTGGGTCTATGTACAGGTTCTGCTGTTTTTGTCATGTGCCGTCGAGTCAGCCCTGACTCATAGCAACCCCTCCTTGGGTTTCTAAGGCAGTATCACTACGGAAGTAGATTGCCCCATCTTCCTTCCAAGGAGTGGCTAGTGGGTTTGGACCACCAGCCTTCTGGTTAGCAGTCAAGTGCCTTAGGCACTATGACACCACAGGTTCCACAGGAGCATAATTAACTGTTCTGGAACTGCAATTCTTCACAGGATTATCCATAATTTCTTACAATCTACATAGTTGAATGCCTTTGCATAGTCAATAAAACACAGGTCTGGTATTCTCTGCTTTCAGCCAAGAACCATCTGAAATCACCAATGATATCCCTCATTCCAAGGCCTATTCTAAATCTTGAATTCCTGCAAGTTCCGTCAATTTACTGCTGCAACCGCTTTTTAATTATCTCCAGCAAAACTTTGTGTGTGATTTTAATTATACTGTTCAATAATTTCCACATTTTGTTGGATCATTTTTCATTGGAATGGAAACAAATATGGATCTAAACCAGTCAGTTGATCAGGTAATTGTCTTCCAGATTACGTCTTTCATATAAAGATCAGATTTATAAAGATACTGATAATAAAAGATAATAATGAAAACTGTTTTTTAAAAAAAAAAAAAAACATTAGAATTCGACTTATGATGGAGCTGTAGGAATGGAACCCTGTCATACACGAAGAATACCAGTATTATTTAAATTGACTAAGCTGTCCTGTGAGATCACGACCCTAAAACGTCTAAAGCAAAAAAACAAAACAAAAAATCCATGAGAAATTAATTTGCATACAAGAAGCATCAATAGCTGATTATTCAGAAGCAGAATACCAATCCTTTATTCCACCTCTGATATAGTGCTGGTGAAGTATGGAAGGCACTCAGATTATGACTAGGGAAGAGCTGCCTTCTCAGAGTAGAGTCAACGTAAATGACATGAATGGTTAATAAAGCTTTTGGGCCCTTCATTTGCTGATGTGGCATGACTTAAAATAACAAACAGCTGCAAAAATCCATTAGTAATTAGAACACAAAATATGCAAAAGCATGAATCAAGCTCCAATGAGAGACATTTACTTTGTCTGTTCTGTTCACTACAATGTCCTCTGCAACTAGAAAAGTGACAGGCACATAGGAAACATTCAATAAACATTTGTTAAATGAACGTGGGAATGCTACAGAATACCCAAGCTCCTGCGAAAAAAAGATACTCGATATCTCAAGAGAGTCTCAGTAGAACAGATAAGGATTTATCCTAATTTTTTAAACAAGTGGTGAAGGTAGAGCTTGTCTT